TTTAATAATATGTTGAGTTAATAAAGGTGGTAAAGGCATTTTCTCACGTTTAACTTGTGGTTTGTACTACTGGTCCCAGACAGTCCAGGACATTTAAGAAAATGAGCAGACATGTCCGCATGACAAATTGTTACATGGACATTTTTGGACATTGCCCAGGACATGTCCATGTCCGCTCAATATTAGGCGGACATGTCCCATGTACAACACTGGTTATCATTGTTGGTTGCATACTTGCAAAATGATGGTATATGGGGAATCTCAATTTTTTGTATGCATGCACATTGATAAATTCCTTCATATGGGTGGTCTATTATGTACAAATGCCAGTTTTTTTCTGTAAATATAAAAAATAACATTGTAAATAATATTATCATTGTTTACCTAATTGATGAAAAGGCAAATATACTTACTATATATTAATAAAAAACAAATTCTCAAATTTCCCAATAAGAATTTAACATCTTCGTAGCTCAAAATTCTATGATGATCTTTTACAAATAATTCAATTATAAAGTTAATGGTGTCTATTGCCATTCTCTTGCCCTTAATTTTATCTTTTTTATATTTTGTATTGTCAGTAAAGTCAGGAATCCCAACTACTTCACACATTAACAAGTCAAAAAACTCGGGCAGACATTTTTCACTACTAATTGTCACATCAGCCCTTCTTCCTGTTTTGGATTTTGTAGAATTGAGCTCATTTGGGTTATAATTATCTTTTTTTCGTTTTGATGAACCTACAATTGTCACTTCACCCCTAAAACAAAAATTTAATAAATATATTTTAATTTAATAAAAATATTTGAATCTATAAAACATTATTTTAAATAAATGCTTACATGGTCGTTGAAACATTTACAATATTTGAAACTTTATTAATTAATTTTAGAAATTTGATCACAACTTCACTTGTATAATTTTGTTCCAGTTGCTGTTGATAATATTCATTATTTTCCAATATTTTTTTGCTAAAATAATATATAGATAGCTTTAATGATTTTATATAAATTATAAAAATATTACAAGCATACAATACTTACTATTTTTTAACAAGGTTATAAAAAATAATATTTCCATTTAAATTATTAGGCGGCTTTGGGATTTCTATCCTTGAATTCTGTGCAGAAAGTAATAAATCTGAGAAATAATTTTCATTTTCAAAAGGAATTGTATAATCAAACACTTTATCAAACTCAAAGAATGTTTTGAAGTCATTAAAATTAATCATATTATTACTATTAAATATTGAACAATATAAAAATATCAATATTAATGAAAAAAAAATTTTTTCTAAATAAACAAATGAATATGTTTACTCTGAATTATTTTCATTTGATTTGCATAGTATATCTTTAGTCTTTTTTTCAATTAATGAATTACTTAATGGGCTTTTTAAAGAAAAACAATTAATATTAATATTTAAAAATAAATTTTTGTTATTTTTGATATAAAGATACTTACTGATCCCATTGATAACCAGTCATAATATTTATGAGGTCACTATAACAGGTTTTTTTATCATTTGAAAACCATTTTAAATTCTGTAAAGGTTATTTTAATTGGTTATTATTGTTGTTATACTTTATTAGCAATATATATAAATTTACATACATCATAATCATTGTCATCTATTAAAAAAATTTTTTTTTCTTCAAGTAAATTTAAATATTCTGTGGTTTCGGAAATTCGTTGATCTAATAAAAAAATATTGTTCATTTTTTTTGTTGACATTATTAATCCTTCCCTGTATCCAATCAAAAAGTTCATGTCAGTATTAATTCCATGCCACCACCCATTAATCCAATCATATTGTTCCTTTAAATATTGGGGTGTGAGATGCCCTAATTAAATCAAAATTAGGTGATGTAACATAATGCCGATCAATAACAAACTTTTTT